AAAAAAAAAAAAAAAAAAAGCCAACTTTTCCACTCCAACCATAGAACACCAAATCTGGAGTTCGAATTCAAAGGAAGAGAAAATGGTAACTGAAGGAGGCGATGAAAGCGGTGGCGATACTAGGAAGGAGTTTTGAGTTCTCGCCTTGGCAGTGGGGTACGGGTGGAGAATGCTCGCTAGGATTTGGGGTTAAGAGGCTCTCTGAGAGGCCCTCGTGAAGTCGATCCCTTGAGCTGACACAGGAAGGGTACACAAACCAGTTCCTGTTCAGAATCCGCGTCCAGACCAGTTTCTCCAGGATCTCCTGATGGTTCGCGGCATCTGGTAGGTCCTGCTTATTGGCAAAGACGAGGATAATGACGTCCCTCACCTCCCGGTCGCTGAATATGAGGTGCAGCTCCTGGCGGGCCGACTCCATGTGGCCTCGGCAGGCGCAGTCCACTACAAATATCAGGACCCAGCTGTAGCACAGCCTCCAGAGCTGAGAGAGCTAGTCCTGGCTGCCTCAGGAGACAGGGCCTGGCAAAGCTGCCGAGGAAATGGGCGGGAAATGACCTGTCAATTACAAGATGCCAGGGCAACGCGAGGACCCGTATGTAGGACTTCTCGCGAGCTCCTGTGAAGACCCCGACAGTCTAAAAAAAAGAGGGGCTCTCGCGGAAAACTGCTCTCATGGGTGAGTTCACGCTTTGTCTTGGGCTGTGTTTCTCAACCTCATGTAATTTTATTTTTATTTTTAACCCTCTCTTTTCTTTGTTTTCCCACAGCGTACCTAGTTTTTCACCCATACCCAATAATCCCACCTTTTGCAAACGAACGTTTTAGTACCATTTTTGGCTTGTCTCGTCCATTTCTTTGTTCCTGTAATATTCTGACATGCCCATACTGAACCCTTTGTAAAGTGACCCCTCCACGTTGAAACCCACTGTGGGAGTGATAGTCACTGATGGGCCCAGATTCAGCTTGTATAGGAGGCTTTTCCTGCAGAGTGCATTGAGGCCCAACGTGAGGATCCACATTTCCTTGTTACTGTAGAGTTTATATATAACACTCTACTGCATCAGATTTCATTTTTATTTATGTATTTATTTATTTATTTTAAGACTGGATGTATCCGTGTTGTTCAGGTGGGCACTGAATTCTAGGTTCAGCAGATCCTCCCGCCTTACCCTCATGAATAGCTGGGACTATAGAGAGGTGTCATTGGACTCAGATTTTACTTCATAGGCAATTAAGAGTGTTTCTGCACATAGTATCTTCAGTGGCATACTTTGTCCTTTTCAGCACTTTGAATATGTTATCCCATATCCTTTAGATCTCTGTTTTCTCATTAGACATCATGGGTTATTCTCACTAAGGTTAACTGGTTCATAATGTCTTTCACTGCTTTCAAAAGTCCTGAACTTTGGCCTTTCACAGTCTGATTATGATGTAACTAACTGAGAGTTTCTACTAATGGGAACTTGTGGAGCTTCTTGAATACTTAACTTCATATCTTTCATAAAATTTGGAAAGTTTTCAACCATTCTATTTTCAAATATCATGTTTACTTTTTTTATATCTCCTCTCTTGCTGCGATTCCCATTATGAACATGTCAGGACACAGATCTTTGAAGCTCTGGTCATGTTCTTTTATTTTTTTTTCTTTCTGTTCACAGGATCATCTCATTTGACCTATTTTAAAATAATTGATTCTAATTGTGAGAAACTGCAATTTTTAGTAGTGACTAATCATATTTTAAATAAGCAAATATTTAAAATTATAAGTTCAAATTTAGTTAATAATTAGAGGTAATAATACATGGCCTTCCAAAAGTGCACAAAAATCATTGTTTACCAGGCAGACATGACCCACTTTGCTAACACTCTGTGATAGTCTATCAACACAGTGAATTTTTATTTTCTCTTTTAGCTATCCATCTTTGTCTCTGGAACGGTTATGCTCCTTTTCTCCAGGTAGTAATCTATACATTTTTCAAGATTGGGCTAAAATGATCTCACTGCTCATTTATTATAATTATTATGCTAATCAGGAAAGGCTATGTTAAAAGAGAGAAATCCTTAAATCACAGCTTTATTTTTCATATTCACAAATTCTAATCTGAAATATTGATTGTAAAGGTAGTTAAATTTTCTGGAACGTATTTCTAGGATGTCCATGATTTTTAAAAAATGCAAAGATGCAGGACACAGAACAACTTTTGATAATCTCAGCCTGGAGATGACGTTTTACATCTACTTAAAATTTTCCCATATGGCCATAAGCTGTCTGCAGGAAAGTAGAATATCAGTATTTATCTATAAATAGTTGTGAGTATAAACTCTTTGAACATAGCCTTGTGTTCTCATTCTAGCCCAAATAATATTTCTTCTTAATAAATATTTAGACTTTTCTGGTTTATTTAAGTGCCCTATATGTGCTAAAAAAAGGAGATATAACTTTATGAACCTGAGTTGTCCTCCAACGTGCTGAAAGGAAAGTCAATAGATATGTAATTGGCAATTTTATTACATTGTTCTGATATCAGCTATTGTATCTAGCAAATAAAAAAACAATATGATCTTAAAATGTGTATTCTTTTCCACATAATTGCATGAAGAAACAGAGAGCAAGAGAAAAACAGACAGCAAAAGACAGTGAGAGTGAGAGTAGGGAGTGAGCAAGGAAATACAAAGGGACAAAGACAAAAGTAGATTCTGGCTACCAATTCCCATTTTTAGGGCTATTGTTTACGCAGTGTCTTCAGAGTAGCACTTGTATGAGCAGAATTCCACACCTGCAGCAGTAGAAAGAAAGATTATTTCTTCCAGTGACGATGTCCTTTCCATGTCACATTCTCTTCTCCCTTGTCCTTAGATAAAATCTAAACCTGGCTGAATGGATCAAAAGTGGCACCAGATGCAATGAAAAACAATTGAAAAAAGAAAAATTGGAGAGCAAAATAGAGAAAATAATAAAAGAAAGATGAAAAAACCAAAACTAAAATAAATGAAATATAATGGGAAGAAAGGGAGGGAGAGAGGAGAGAAAAAGACTATAGCAAAAGTTGCTGTGTATTCACATAACAGTTTCCTTTTCTCTAAGTACATATTAGGCTAAAATTTCAGACATTCATAAACTTACCCAAGGCCTTTTACCTAAATTTGACTAAGGAATGATGAGTGCTAAGTAAATATGTTAATTCAGGAATAAACACAAAAATCTCCCATGGGGGAGCGATTTTATGCTTTTTTTTTTCTCCTTCAGAGATCTAGAAGTAAAATTAATGCTTCTTGGCCTCTTGAGTTATCATCACTGACTATCTTCATGTAAAATCAGAGCTTGTGTCTAGTGGTGTGGCTGTGAGTATGTGGAACAGAGAGGTATGCTCTATAAAGAACAGAAATGAACAGAGCAGAACAGATTTACAGGAAATACCACGTCTCATCTGAATGGTGAAGAGAATGAAGATTTTAACTACACTGATGCCTGTCATGTTTCCCATACTTTCCTTTAGAACTTTGCAAAGTCAAGATATTATTCCCCTTGGCCTAAATTTAGTTCCATGAGAAACCCTGTAGCTTTTCTAATATTTCTCCTTTTATGCTGTACTAATCCAAGTCATCTTTCTGTGGCATCCAAATAATCCCTGGATACTTGTCCGATGATAAATTAATTTAATTTCCTGATGAGAGAATCTAGAGCTCCCTGATTCATTCTTGTAGAATTCCAGTTCATTCTAGTTCTTTCCATCATCAACCATGTTTATTTTGGCTCTTCTCAGATATGGCATCATTCTTAAGTGAATGTGAATCTGTGTCCCTCCCTGGGCAAGAACTACAGCCACCAGAAGGGAAACATCATTCTGAATGCAACAGTGTACATCCAACCTCCATGAAAGGTGGGAAACTAACCTAAAAAGTGAGATGTTTATCTTATTCTCTATAGTCTGTTTGGGCATTTTCCTTGGCTACTGCTGTCCATATTCTCTTGGATTTTAATAGCCAGAGCCTTGTTTCCTGTACTCTGAATATTTTCTATTAAAATACAGATAATAGAAAACATATGCCATGAACGAATATAAACTCTCATGTATCAATTCATTTAAACATTCTTAAAAGCTTGCAGACTTTTAGTAAATTGCTTATTCTTATACACTTCAGGGTAAGCTTCAAATCTCAATGATCTGGATTAAAACTATTCGGTTACTTTCTACCAATCTTGAACAATGCAGCTAGTGTCCTTCTGACTTTGGGGACTATATTAGGCCCACACTCAAAGCAATACAATTCTTTCAACTTGGTATTTGCACTGAAACCAAACTTTCTACATCCTCTTGAAAATGAATATTAAATGCCCAGATACCAAATGAAGATTCTAGAGGCTCTGGAACTCTTCTGTAGTATTACAGGTCAGGGGTGTATTTAGGGATGAGGAGCATTAGTATACACAACTCATTTTATTTTATTTTTTGCTTTTTTTGCTTATAGACAGTATCGTGTTCAAATCCTGTATGTTTGATTTGCTACTGATATGAACTTGGTCAAGGAGTTTTTCTTTGTATGTCTCACATTTCATCAGTAAAAAGAAGAAAAAAACTTACTAATCAGAGTTTCAGGTGAAATTAATTAGCATAATGTATGTGAAACATGATTCTCAAACATGTAGGTTGCTTTTACATGTATTCTGCACTCTTTAACATGAAATTTAAGTGAAAATAATCAAAAATATTTCCACTTTATATTTCATACCTGAAAAAGTATTAGGAAAAAGTACTATTGCTTGTTGCTTAATAGCTTTAGAATATGATGCAAAATAATTAAAAGATGCAATAAAAAGTCCATTTTAATTTGATATTTCTTTTGAATGTTTTTATCATTTGGAAGTGAAAATATATCATTAAATTGTATGACAGCCTGGTTCTTCTCCACCTTTGAACTTGGAATCTGAAGTTTCTTCTAGAGATAGGGACTCTGGAAAGGGCAGCTTTATTACTCATCTCGGTAAGCGAGGATTAGGGAGATAACCAAAGGTCACACTTAAAGCTGTGCTGAATTACTTCTTCCAGATTTCAAACACACAGGCAAACAAGTTTTTAACCAGTGTGTGTGAGGAGTTAGACTTCCTGCAAGAAAGATTGCTCCGTCTGCCTTTTTGCTTCGTATCTCATCAATTGCAATTGAGAGAGAAGAAGCCTGCCTTTGCTAGCATGAAAACCTTTTGCTGTTTTAAACAGGCTCTGCCTTTCCTTTGTCTTATTCATCAGATGAGCCACATTGCCCCTGAATTTTATGAAATAGGCTGGGATATGGACTCAAGAATCCTGAGTACAATTGAGCCCGCAGCTAAAATCCCCCAAGTTGGGCCTGATCTACATCCATTAACCCATCTTGTGACTTCTTATTAGAGGCAAGTGACAGCTTGGCAGAAACCAATAAAAAAACTTTCTGCTTGCTTTCTTAAAATCTTTAAACTTAACAATTAGATACAGACCTGATCTCCATACATGTCTTGACACCATTTCAAAAACTTCACACAAAATCACAAATCAATAGGACAGTGTGGTCTTTTTTCTCCCCCATGGTTTCCTCTTCAGAGTAGGAAATCTGTATACAAAGCCCTCCTTAGAAAACCATTATTGTGCTTCAGTAAGTAGCACTAGACTTCTTGGGAAGGCTGCCTTGAAGGAAGGTGTCTACAGGTGCAGTCAGTCCTATAAAAGATTTCCAATGAGTTTAGCAACTTCAAAGCAGCAAAAGCCTGTTGTCCAATTTTATTTGCCTCTGAATCTGACTAAACAGGTTGCTATTCATTACAGAGCTCTAAGTCAGGTACTTACAAAGTCACTGTTCTTTGTATTAATCTAGACAAGAGGCCATTATGAACCGTTGCTTTAGTTTTGGGTGAAAATACAATGCACTTGGCTGGATGAAAAATATGCTTTCAGGTTGCCCTTTCTTGTTCTTTGAAACCTAAAATCTTTTTATTTCCTTTGGGATTTTTGAGTGGTAGAAGCTATTGATTTTTTTTGACATAAATATATTGTGAAATTTTGAAAAAGTGAGTATTTCTGTCCTGGGAAAGTGAAAATATGAGTTAATAAAATTGCCAAACCAAAGAAAGAGCTTTAGGAAGAATGATAATATTCTTGTTTTCCTAAAGTTCTATTCATTATTCAATCACAGGTGGAATACTAATATTTATAGAGATTTTTCACACTTTAGTTGATCAATTATTTCAGTGTTGCCAGGTATTTAATTCTCTTTCAATAAATGTGGACAGTAAGGCCAGAGAAGTGAAAGAAATTGGCAGACTCCACACAACTAATTAGTATTTGCACCCAGATTTGACATTGGGTCTCCTGGAGTAGTAGTTTGTGATCAACTCTAGGACCTCTGTATACCATTCCCTGAATGTGGGCATGCACCCAAAAGGCAGGACACACTGGTGCATAAGCTTCATAGGAATAATACCAGAATAACTCTTTGCCCCGATTCATTCCCAAGGCCTATGTAAATGTCCAGCTGGCAGTAGATGCTCACTAATTGTTTGCTGAAGGACACACACATTAATACCTAAGAATATTGTAAAACAAAAAATAACAGCATAATTGAAAAGCTTCTTTAATTGCTGCTTTTTTATTTCTACCATTTATGGTCTTAAGTTTTTGTTAACTGAGAGAAATATATTAGTATTATTATAGAATATTGTAACTCTAGTTAACGATGTATATTTCAAAATGGATGGAAGAATTGATTTTAAATATTTTCATGCCATAAAATTAGCAAATTAGATGATGGATGGATACATTAATTCACTTGATCAAATTATTCCATCCTATATACATGTAGGAAAACATTATATTGTAACCCATAAATATAGATAACTATTATTTGTCTAATAAAAAATAAGATTAAAAAAAGAAACATGTTTCTCAAACTTTATTACAAACAGTAAATTTTTTTATTTTATCTATTTTCTTACAAAACCAACTATAAGTATTTTTGACATTTCATCAACTTTTCAAGAATGTTGTAATAAGTAACAGATACATACAACAGATAAGAATTTGTAATAAAACAAATTAACTATAGTGTTTACTAATATTTTCTGTCCAATATAGAATATGTCCCCAATATCATATTTTTTTATTCCACAGAAAAGGAATTGGGAAGAGATAAGGGGACAAGGATGAGTTACAAGGAAGGGGATGACTATGATTAGTGGGGCTGTTCAGGCTATTTCTCTTTTTTATGAATGGACTCCATTTGATGAATTGCTTTTATTTGGATATGTGTTGACTCTTTGCTACCTGGTGTGTTATCTTTTTGGTGATGTCAGATGAGAGAACTAAAGAGCTATAACTCAAATGGAAAACCCCAAATTGGGCAGAGATTGATAATGATGCTGATCTGAGTCTTTTTAATGGCTTGGCCTTATTTTGAAGCCAAACTTAATTCCTTCCTTTATTAGGCAAGATTGGAGTGTGAGAAAGAGAGTTTAGTATCAGCAAATGACTAGAACACTGACACTAGCTTATATAGACTGTACATTCTCATAAAATATTCAAACTATCCCTTAGGAGACTGAATAAATTTCACATTCTACTTGGTATAAAGCAGAAAATCTTGTGTCCTAAAAAGAAAACATGATAGCATACTAAGAAGGAGAAGAGAGAAGCATAGCTTTTGGGCAAAATCTATACATGTTGCAGTGATGAAATATAACATAAGCTTTAATTTTATTTACATCCTGCATCATTGGCACAGTGAAGTGAGGAGTAAGTCTTGGGAAGTGTGCTGTAACTGTGTTTCAGATTAGTGGAGAGAAAAGTAAAAAGAAATGATATGCACTCCAGGCAGGCTTAAAATGTTTGTATAGGTACAGATCACAACACAAAATAGATGTCTCCTCCAAAAAATTTTGAATTTCAAATAGTACATAGAACATTTTGAATAGATAAATATATTATCCTAATTTCAAAAGTTTAATAATATCTTTATTTCAGGATAAACAAGTAGCAATCCCAATTTTTTGGTATATGTTTGTGATACATAATAATTACATTTATCTTAGGGAATTGGTACATATGCATATCACTTCATGATCATTTTTTATCCCCTCTTTCTCCAATATTTTAAACACAAAATAGCTTGTGCAGTCTGATTCAGTTATAGAGTTAGACCTTAAAAGAATTAAGTTGGTTGAAGAAAGTAAATTAGGCATTAGCATATGAAAATATATACATACATTTGATTTATTTTCTAAAAAGTAAAAAACTTTAACATATGCTGTGCTGAATAAGGGAACAATGTGCTTTTATTGAAAAGTGTATAAAATCAGTATGTATCGTTCCATTTTTCCATCATTAATGGAAATTATTAAGTATTATTTTCAGTTCAGTTTATGTTTGTGTTTTGTTTTACACTAAGCATTTGGAAGGAAGATAATATAAAGAAAAAAGTAAAAAAAAATACATGCTATCAACAGTGAAATAAATTGCCAAACTTTGTAACTAACCCAGTCAAAAATGCAGTCAGGTGATCCAAACTGTCTTCAAATATAATCATCAAGAAAATAGAATGAATTAAAATACCATGATGCTAATATGTATTTCATGACTCTCACCAATTTACAATAATCAGTCGATATTTGTTAATATTTTAGGACATGATAGAAATGGCTACATTTTTAAGAAAGGCATTTAGTTATTCAGGAGTGACTGCTGCATCAACCAGCTCTTACATTTTGCTAAAATCATGGAATCAGCTTCTAGAGTTACTGAGTAGGGAAAAATGAGCTGATTATCGAGTAATAGGTTTTCAGGGTTAGTGCAGAGGAAAATAGAAGCTATCTATTCCAGGCAGTTTCACAGCACTGAGGAGGGAATTCTAACACATT